TGACACGAATGGTCATATCCATTTTGTCTTTTACTATGTCATGAATAACATTTCCCATTTATACAACTGGGCAGTATGTATAGGAACAGTTATTAAGAAGAAAAAAAAAATACATGCTTGCTCTGATATTCTGGGTCAGTCAGACCCTGAATATTCTATTTTCAGAAATAAGTTCAGGCTATACTTTCTTAACCTTATAACTAAACTACACGAAAGTACACTGCCCTCAAAAAAAATATACATGAAGATATGACAAACACTAAACTTGTCCCACCAAGGCAAAAATTTCTTTACTTCATAGCAGACTTTATATAAGAAATCCGAGTAATTAGTTTCTGTTCTAAGAGTATCTGTAAACTGTCCTCAAACCTGTCTCCATAATCTATTGACAAGTCTAGGGATATTTTTCCTGTCAAGACATTACCTCTTATCATGAAGCTTCCTGTTGTCAAATATTCTCCAGTTGGTGCTGTTTTAGATACCTGAAGAACACAATAATACATTGTATTCTTATTTTTAAAAATACTCCGGTTTTCTTTTTCCACTTGAGAAAGTAAAGTCAGAGTCAAGTAAGCCACACTGTCTCCTGAAAAGTTTGTAATTTCGTATAAATTCTCAATACTGAAGGGAAAGATAGCCCTTTCATGACAGATAAGCCTCTGGAAGTAACAAAGAAAAACAAAGAATCCACTACATCAATCATTTTCTTTCTTTTTTCTTTTGAGACGGAGTCTCACTCTGTTGCCCAAGCTGAAGTGCAGTGGCACAATCTCGGCTCACTGCAACCTCTACCTCCTGGGTTCAAGCGATTCTCCTGCCTCAGCCTCCTGAGTAGCTGGGACTACAGGCACCCGCCACCATGCCCCGCTGATTTGTGTATTTTTAGTACAGACGGGCTTTCACTATGTTGGCCAGGCTGGTCTTGAACTCCTAACCTCGTGATCCACCTGCCTCAGCCTCCCAAAGTGCTGGGATTACAGGCGTGAGCCACCATGCCCGGCAATAATTTTCAAATGCCATGGACGACAGCAGAACTGGTCCACTCATCTCTTCCAGCGTGAGATGTAATGAGAAAACTAATGATAGGTCAATGAGCTTATCATAAAGCTATGTTTATTAAAATAAAGCTCTATTTATTAAATAAAATCCTTGTCTAAGATACTGTTTTTGATAATAAAGTTTTTTTTTCTCTTTTTTTTGAGACGGAGTCTTGCACTGTCACCCAGGCTGGAGTGCAGTGGCCCAATCTTGGCTCACTGCAATCTCAGCCTCCCAGGTTCCAGCGATTCTCCTGCCTCAGCCTCCCAAGTAGCTGGGACTACAGGCACGCACCACCACGCCCGGCTAATTTTTGTATTTTTTTAGTAGAGGTGGGTTTTCACCATACTGGCCAGGCTGGCCTCGAACTCCTGACTTTATGATCTGCCCACCTTGGCCTCCCAAAGTGCTGGGATTACAGGCATGAGGCAAAAGTAACTTTTCACTATATGAAATAAAGATTACAGGAAAATTTTAAAAAATATATCCTATTTCGGCAAACAGAAAGTGAGTAAACTTATCCCATAATTTAAAAAAATTTTGGGGCCAGGCGTGGTAGCTCACGCCTGTAATCCCAGCACTCTGGGAAGTCAAGGCAGGTGGATCACGAGGTCAGGAGTTCAAGACCAGCCTGGCTAAGACAGTGAAACCCTGTCCCTATTAAAAACACAAAAATTAGCCAGGCGTGGTGACGGGTACCTATAATCCCAGTTACTCAGGAGGCTGAGGCAGAGAACTGCTTGAACCCAGGAGGCGGAGGTTGCAGTGAGCCGAGATCGTGCCACTGCATTCTAGCCTGGGTGACAGAGCAACACTCCATCTCAAAAATATATATATAAATAAATAAATAATTATAAATCTTTGAAACCCCCAAATCTTCAGAGTATCTTTATTAGTCATAGTTATTAAAATAGCAAGGGGCCAAGTGTGCTAGCTCACACCTGTAATCCCAGCACTTTGGGAGGCGGAAGGAGTTCACTTGAGGCCAGGAGTTTGAGACCTGGCCTGGCCAACATGGCCAAACCCCATCTCTACAAAAACAGAAAAAGTAGCCAGGTGTGGTGGCACACTCCTGTAGTCCCAGCTACTCAGGAGGCAGAGGCAGGAGAATCACTTGAACTCATGAGGCAGAGGCTGCAGTGAGCTGAAATTGCACCACTGCACTCGAGCCTGGGCAACAGAGCAAGACTCCATCTCAAAACAAACAAAACAAACACAAAAAACCAGCAAGGGATTAAAAACACACTAAATTTCATTCTAAAAAATTTCTTAATAAAAGAATTAAAACCACTTTTATAACAGCACTGAGGTAGCAATTTATAATCCCCCTATAATGACAATATCATAGCACAGCATATAATAAATATAAAAAGATACAAAAATGAAACTAAATCTAAGGGAGTATAATGAAACTGAACTTTTTATCCTACTGTATAGCTTTATGAACTTATAAAAGTACATCATCATCAATTATAATTCTCAAAAGTATGATAAGAAATCAATAGCAATGTGAGGTCAAATATGGAATGAAGTATCACCAAACTAAACAGCACTGGCCAGGCACCATGGCTTACACCTGTAATCCCAGCACTTTGGGAGGCTGAGGCAAGAGGATCACTTGAGGTCAGGAATTTGAGACCAGCCTGGCCAACATGGTGAAACCCCATCTCTACAAAGAAAAAAAAAAATGCAAAAAAAAAAACCCAACAACATCATTAACCACAAAGAAGGGCAATTACTAAAAACAAATGAGGATATGCCTACTTTTCTGGAAGGGCCCAAGAGAATTCAGAATATTCCAACAAAGATGAACAGGAGAAAGGCCTTTTAGGTCAGTATGCCAATAATAATCAATACTAACTGGAATACTCTTTATCCTGTATAACTGTATGGATCACTCTCTCTTCATTTACCTCTCTGCTCAAATACTACCTTCCTAGAAAGGTTTCCCCAATACTTCATCCAAAATGGTATCCCCTATCACTCTCTATCCCCTTTCATACTTTAAAAAATACATATTTTATGGCACTTATTACCTGACATTATGTACATATTTTCCTCTACCAAAAAAATGTTAGCTCTATTAGAGCCTTGTCTGCTTTATTTACTTCTATACTCTCAAAATTTGACACACAGTAGCTCTTAATAAGAAAAAGGACAAGAGCCCTTATTACCTGATGATGGTACACCCACCAAGCACTAGTGATAACTCGTGCATCCCAAGCAGCACTGTAGCAAAGTGCCATTGTGCCAGCTTCAGTCAAGGTCCGTGGGGGGATGGGTTCTCCTGGAATAACAATGCATAATGTTTTAATACCAAAGTATGGACTTTCTCCAGAGAAAGATGAAAATTACATGCTGCATGACAGGGTCAATCATTTTTTTTTTTTTTTTTTTTGAGACAGAGTCTTGCTCTGTCACTCAGGCTGGAGTGCAATGGCACAATCTCAGCTCACTGCAACCTCCACCTCCTGGGTTCAAGCAATTCTCTGCCTCAGCCTACTGAGTAGCTGCGATTACAGGCGCCCGCCACCATTCCCCGCTAAATGTTTGTATCTTTAGTAGAGACGGGGTTTCACCATCTTGGCCAGGCTGGTCTTGAACTCCTGACCTCATGATCCACCCACCTCAGCCTTCCAGAATGCTGGGATTACAGGCATAAGCCACCGCATCCGGCCAGTCAATCATATATCTTAAATACTAATACATTTTTACTTCATCATTATAAAAAGTTACTAAAAATGTATTTTTAATATTGCTATTTACAGAGCAAGCTTTTAAATGACCTATGTAAATAAAACATGTCAGAGAAGAAATATCCTCTCACATCAATAATTCTAACTTCACTCCAGAAAAGATAATTTAGAGAAATCCATTTAAAGTTTGAAGACTTCCAAAATTAAAATAGATTGGCGGAATCATGAATATGAAGAGCATACATGAATAATATGTCCCTTATGGTTAGATTTCAAATATTTTTAAATTGGGGTATAATTCACCTGCCAAAAATTAACCCCTTTAAAGTGCACAATTCAATGGCTTTTTGTATATTCATAATGCTGTGTGACCATGACCATCAACACTATTTAATTCCAGAACATTTTCATCATCCCAGAAAAGAAACCCTATATTCATTAGCAGCCACTCCCCATTTTCTCCTCTGTACCCAGTCCCTGGCAATTACTAATCTATTTTCTGTCTCTATGGTTTTGCCTAATTTGGACGTTTTATACAAATGTAATCATACATAGCATTTTAGGTTTGGCTTCTTTCACTTAGCTTAATGTTTTTCAAGGTCATTCCATGTTAAAAGCACATATAAGTACTTCTGTTCTTTGTAAGTCTGAATAATATTCCATTATATGGATATACCACATTTTGTTTATTCATTAATTGAATGACATATGAATTGTTTCCATTTCTTGGCTATTATAAATAATGCTGCTATCAGTATCTGCAAACAAGTTTTGTATGGACACATACCTTTGCTTATCTTGGGTATATACCTAAGAGAGGAATTGCAGGGTCAATTATGTTTTACATTTTTTGCAACTGCCAAACCATTTCCCATAGCAGTATTCTATTTTCTCCACCATCATCACCAACACGTGTTAGTGGGTATAAAGTGGTATCTTGTGTTTTTTTGAGACGGAGTCGTGCTCTTTTCGCCCTGGCTGGAGCGCACTGGCGTGATCTCAGCTCACTGCAACCTCCGCC